CCTCTCAGAAAGCTGCTGTGAGGAACAAGCAAGGTAACATATGTAAACCCGGTGCTTGCCCAATGGAAAGAGCCCAAGATGCATTTCCTTGAGCTCAGTCGGAAGTGTGGGGCCAAATGGAGTCCTATAGAAAAAAGTGAGGGGTCTCCATTCTGGCTCACATGCCATCAGCACCGCGGTGGGGAAGCCAGTCTCTGACCCCAAGACCTCCTCTCTGAGCGAAGGACAGGGCAGGCTGCTTTCAATCCATGCCTGTTGCTGGAGGCTCTTGGCACTAGGCATGCTTAGCAACAAAGCCCCTGTGATTTCTATCTGAATGGCAAACCCACGAGAGGCCACCACTGCTGAAGCTGGGCCATCACAGCTTTCATTTCCTGTCTCAAATCAATCTTTCACCCCAAGACACACCATAAAACAGAATCACGCTGACTAACAGCGCTAGGTTTCTAAGTACAAGTCAAACAGCCTGCACACAAGGCGGCCCCATGCTGTTGCACCCGAGTTTTATTAGGCCTTGATAAATAATGAGGTGGAAACAGAAGGGGCCCTGCTAACACCTGACATTCAAGTTCAGGGTCAAAGAGAGAAGTGGAAGGCGTGACAGCCGAACCCACGTGGGGAGGCGACATGGCACTGGGGAAAGGGACACCTGTTGTCAGAAGACTCGATTCCACCTCACTCCTACCACTAGCTTCCTATATGGGACAGTTTAAGCCACGTCTCTGGGCCTCAGTTTCTTTACTCATACATAGGAGAGCTGGAGTAGATGATCTGTAAGTTCTTTCTAGCTTTACCACTTGGCAGCTATAAACCTTAGAAACAAATCCAACTTCCCTAACCCTTCCCCTTTTTCTGTTGTGCAGCTGAGACATCTCGCATCTCTCCCTGAGCAGCCTTCTACCAACACTACTCCCTTTATTGCTCTGGAGTGTCTGGTCGCCCCTGACCACAAAGCCTAGCCAAACTTGGGACCATATTCTTAACAATATTTTTACTACTCTCTGTCAAACAACTCAATAGGCTCCTGGTACCCTGGGGTATTAGGAACTTGAATATCCCAACAACTAATCCCACTCCCCTCCCACACCAACCAACTTTCACTCCTTAGATCTCCAACACTCTCAGAAAGTTAGACTTTTCCCCTTGCAGCTTTGCAGGAGACTAGGGCAGGGACAGGCAGCTCTTATCTGCACTCTTGCATGGCTCAAGGTGGGGCAGCAGAGAGGTGGCAAAGCTACAAAGGCCAGGAAGAAAGTGCTTACAGAAGCAACCTCCAGCCACATGAGGAGAGGTGACCTAGAGGAGAAGATGGTGCTAATCACGAGGACAAACTGAGGGTGGGCACTGAGGACCACAGAAGTCTAGAAGACACCATTAATATGCCACCACGCCTCCACTCCTTCCTTGTTTCCTTAATAAGACATCTGAAGGCAGGTGAAGTTCTGTGACTTGCCCAAGGCCATGCAGCCAAGCTGTGGACAGCCCACACTAGGATGTGCATCTTTGGTCCCTGCCCACTCTTTTTTCCGCTCTACTCTGTTGACCTCAAGAGTCTAATGAGGCCAGCTGGGTTCCCTGGAAACTCTAAGAAACATGACCCGTGTCACTCAGGGAAACAGCAGACCCAGCAGATACCTTGACAGTGGCCTCTCCAATCCCATGCATTCCTTCCCAACTTGACCTCGTTTTCTCGTTATTTCTGCAGCCCTTGCTACAAAACCTCAGGAAGTTCAGAGGTCAGCGAGAAGAGAGAGGTGAGCCTCCCTATCTCTACTGAATCCTAAATATCTAAGATAACCCACAACTGTCCCTCTTCCTCAGTCTAGAGAAAGCTGGTGGGGGAAGGGTAGAAGGAGGGGGAAAAAACACCAAATGAACCAACTGGAAGACAGACCTGTTTAGGCCAGGGTATTATTCGTGGGCGATTAGATGGGTCATCTGAAGGTTTGTGACAACAAACAATAGGCTCTGCCTCTGCCAGTGACCTTTCAAACACCAGCGTTTGACAGAGCATCTCAGCTTCAGGAGCCGGAAGCACCGAGTCAAAGATTCAAGGAATTAATTATTCAGCGTGCATGACCCAGTTCCCAGAGGTGAGGCTGGGTGAGAAGAGAAAGCACCAGCTCCTTATCACCGCAAGAAACTCAAATACTTCACGGGGTAGTGCTCTCTTTGCTGCCAAAGCAGATCCATTTATGGCGTAGAGTGGCCAAAATATAAAAGTCACAGGAAAAAAAAGGTCAAATTTCACTCATTCAATAAATGTTTACTGAGCTCCTCTAAGTCCCAGGCCCTCCAGGGATTTGCATGTGGTTGGAGTTCAGCAGAGGAGAGAGATCTCAGAATTTATAAACAGGACGTCTGGGCTCAGCCCTTAGAGAGCTACGTTACCCTGGGCAGGTTACAGCTTGTTGAGGGCAAATTTCTCATCTGTAAAATGGGAGTCAGTCTACCTGCCTGATTATGAAGACGAAATGATCTTTATACAGTGTAAAGTACAATGTAAATATGAGGTGTAAACAATAATGATATAACATGACACACTTTCCCTGCCCTAGGAAAGTGTATAATCTGGTAATGTTTTAGAAAATAATCCAAGGTACCTATTTGGCAAGCATGGCACTGTCTGTAATTTGGGCAAATTGTATGCTTCAGCCTGCCAGTGCAGATGGAGGCGGCGGTCAGTCCCAGTCTCCCAGTCCCAGAAGTTGCAAGGAGGGGTGGAGGAAACATAGAAAGAGTCACCAGGCCCTGCCTGGCCCTAGGCAAGTCTTGACTGGATGCATGAGCCAGGAGAGACCCAAGAGTGCAAGGGGAACCCGAACAATGGGGCATGTGGTCAATCAGCAATAAAACAGAACAAAAATTCATTTGAGCGCCACGGGAATGAGCCTGCCAGAATGGCACACGCGTCCCTCCCCACACACATTTCAGACAATTCTGGAATTCACAGTTCGCTGCCTGAGCCTCCTCTGTGGACTCGCGCTCTGCATTCTGGGTTTCTCCAGAACCGGGGAGACTCTCAGGCCGCAGCGGACTGGCCGGTCAGGGCCTCTCTGTTCCCGTCCCTCCCCAGACACTAAGAATCAGAACTCCTGGAGCAGCTGTCCCCTAGGTGCAGGCAACCCCCTCTCATCTCGCTGTCCCGACTCTCACCACGGACTCCTCATCCCCACGTGGGTCCTGGGTGCCCACCAGGCCAGCCTCCAAATGCTCAGACGTGCCTGCCACTGCCCTCCGGTGGGGCTGCACATACAACCGGCTCCTTGGATCGGGCCCTGATGCGTGCCCTCCCCCTTACCCTCCCTCCTTCCCTCCCAGCTCCTTCCTTCGAGGCCCTGCCAGGCTCACACGCCCAGGGACGCCCCTGGAGACCAGGGCCGGTTTCACTTGCCCCTCTGTTCCCTCCAACTCATGACTTTCTGTAAGCTCTTCACCCTCCTGTAAACGCAGATTTATGGTCCTAACATGTCCTCTGATTGCTGTATACAGAAAAGAGACAGGGGAGGGGGAGGAGGGAGGAGGAGTGGAAAGAATGCTACCCTGGAAGCCCAGGGCCTGTGTTTCAATTCTCCATTTGACACAAGTTGGTTCTGTAACCTTGAGAAAGTATCTTTAGGCCAGGCCTCTGTTTCCCTGTTTGGTAACGAGGGGTTTGCTCTAAATAACCTTTCTAATTATAAAGTTTGGCATCACAGAAACCAGACTAGCCTGGGACACAGCAGGCATGCGTCCTGGTCCTTATTAGCCTACAACCTGGGACAGGTTATCTGTCTGCTCACTCCTGGTCTCCATGCCTAGAAAATAAATGTGGATCACATGACCACCCCTCGGGGGTGTGAGGCTCCCACGAGACACTGTCCATGACCGAGCTTCAGGGACTGTAAAGCCCTGACCGAACCTCAGGGTTCACTCAGCTGGTGACCACCTGCGCCGAGCCTGGTACCGTGCCTGCCAGGAGGGGCTGCCGGCTCAGACAGGAAGGGTGGAGGATGGTCCTTGCCCTCAAGTCTCCCACAGCAGGCAGGCGAGACGGGCAGGCAGACAAACCCCGACAGGCGGTGGATCTGAGTTATGAACAAATCACCATGCGAATGCAAAGAAGAGGCACCAGCCCAGAGGGAACAGCTTGCCCTGGAAGCGGTGAGCTGTGCCGGGACAGTGGCACTAGAGAGGGGCAGAGGGGAGGGGCAGGAAACAAGGCCGAGTTCCCACTGGAGCGGGCCTTGCAGGCCAATGGGAAAGCGAGGGTCGGAGGTGCCTTTGAGGGGTCTCTGGCAGCACTGCAGAGGCCAGAGCAGAAAGGGCCAAGAGTGGAGCCGGGAGAGGGGCAGGGAGGCTCTCATAGTGCAACAGTCCACGGAGGTGACTGTGGAAGGCAAGGCCATTGCCGATTCCCGCCTGCTCAAGCCTTCCAGACCCTCCAGCTCCACAAACCTCTGAATCTACAGAAAGGTGTAAACAGGTTTGCTCTCCTCAGAATGGAACCCACGCAGGGGAAGATGCTGCAGTCACATTTTCAAACCTTGCACAGATGGTCCAGGGTGCTCTGAAGTCACTCCCTACAGAAGCCGCCTGGCCAGATCCTTGCCTTGGCAGAGATCCGGGTGGCTAAGAGGCTGGAATGTTCTCAGGGCTGGGATTGGGATCCCAGGGCTGAGCGGCTGGCCCTGCTTAGGGGAACGGGGGAAGAGACTGACCCACCCAAACACCACTGAGTCAGACAGGCCTTGCCCCTCCAAAACAAACCGCAGTCTCCATCCCTGCCTCCCAGCCTCCTCCAGCAGCGGGGAAGAGCGGTGCAACCTTGGAAGTCGTCAGCAAAGACAGAGGCTTAGGAGAAAAACAAAGGTTTCACCGGCATTGTTACTTCACATGGGGTCACGTGCATTTGAGATTAAAGAAAGAGTCCACGTGCTCCCGCACTTTTCTAAGCCTAGGACCAGCGCCCCCAAGAGCTACTCAGTGGCATGAAAGATCCACCACTGTGACTTACTCACCGGATTCTCAGGCTTCACAATGGCTAAGGTCTTCCTCCAGGATGAGCCACACACAGCTTGCCATGTTCCTGTAAAAGCAAGAGCTCAACAATTAATGTCAGTTACATGATCTTATGTCACAGCCTGCTACCTCCTCCCCTCCAAGAGGGCGCACATGTTGTGCACTTTGCCCTGTGTGACACTTCGCCCATCAAGAGGAAACGGACAGAGAATCTAATCTCTCTCTGTGCGCCAACAAGTTTTGCCCATGAAGAAAAAAATAGTGAGACTCAAAACAAATTCTATCATCAGCCACAGTCTGGGCATCCTGAGGGCTTATCCTATCTCTACGCAAAGACTGCTGAGAGAATAAGGCAGATATGAAAGAGAATGCTCTATTAGCTGCTTTAGTAAAAACAGTGTCAGAATTTCTAAGCTTAAGACACAATGAAAGTAAACCAAGCTGATGTAGAACTTGATAACAAGTCTCCCATGCAAAATTGGTCACATTTCCTAAGGTAGAAAGGTCCAAAATGCTAAAAAAAACAAACAAACAAACAAAAAACCCAGAAAATTATGCAAGTGGGCCATCTGATCATGGCCTAGTTTCCCAAACAAATTATTTTAGCTTCCAGTGACCACCCACATTATTTGGTTACATCCTATTGCTTCTGTAGAAAATGCCTCTACACCTGTTTGGAAAATGGAGCCCAGAGTTACAAAATATTTCTAATGATTTACTTTTACATTAACAAAAAATCTCAAATGTCTAAGAGGTAGCCTCAAGAGGACAAAAACTAACACAGATGTGAAATTTGAGATCTATAAAAGGCAATGTCCATACTCCAGGGAACTGCAAACACTTGGCTCAGCCGAGCGGCAGGCCTGTTTACACACACACACACGCGCGCACACGCGCACACACACACACGCGCACACACACGCGCGCGCACACACACATTCTCTCCGGCACACAGAGGGCCACGTTCAAGTGCTGAGAGATGGGATTCACTGTGTAGAATTCCCAAGCTATTACTGGCAGAGAACCTACTATTTGCTGAGCACTGGTCATGCATGGAATCAGCCCTGCTAGAGACTAGACACACTTGATCTCAGTGGCTCCTCAGAGACAGGAAACAGAGGCTTAGAGAGCAGGTGGCAATTGCCAAGGCCCCACAGCAAGCAGGATGTGAGCCCAGGCCTGGCTGACCAGTGCCCATGAGCCTTGCCACCAAGCTCAGGTGAGAGGTGACCTGGACGCCAACACCTGTCATAGCCATGGTGTGTCCAACACACCTGGTGAGCCTGGCAAGTTCCAAGGGCAGCCACCTGGGCAGAAGCTGCAACCATCATCATCATTATAAAGCCCACACCCCTCAGGGACGGTGCCAGCTGACAAACAGGCTGGCCCGCCCTGGCCACATTCTATCAGCCTGAGCTGTAGGCTCTGTGCTGCTACCTCAAGCCTGAAGCCAGAGAGACTGGAGGCATCAACTTTGCTAGACCCTGCTTCTCAAGGGAAGTTTCCAGAAGCAGTGGATGGGGAGCTGGACATCTTGGCACAGAATCCCCGTCTGTCCAACCAGGGTTGAGAAACCAGGGACTTCCTCATGTTCCCCAGATCCCAGGAACAGAGGTCCTTACCCCTTCCACCCCTATCCTGGGATATTACTGAGACCAGCGGCAGGGAAACGGGGCTCTTTGAGGTTCTGCTTGGGTTGTCTTTATAGTGGGATGGAGGTGGACATGACTGGACCTGGCCACAAACGTTGACCACTGGTCAGATCCCACAGAGGCCCAGGCACACTGAGATCCAGCCACTCAAAGGACCGACTCATACCCTCTGTCTGACCAACAGCCAAACACGCTTCCAGCAACCTGCACCACCACCAAACCAGAAGGTGCTAAAATCCAGGCCCTCCCTTCCCTTGAGGGGCCTCAGTCTCCCCATTTGTAAAATGAGGAGCTTGAGATTATTGGTCATTTCCTTACCGAGGACCCCGTCTAGCTGCATGCATCCATACACCCTGACTTTTAGAGAGACATACAAATCTAGTTAGCTGTTAAAAGGACAGGGAGGGATTAACCTGTGCACAGGCATTGCATTGGGCAGTTAGCATGTGCTACCTCGGCTAATCCCCCCAACAACCCTGTGAGGCAGGTACAGTCTCAAGTTACAGAGGGGGAAACTGAGGCATGGCACAGCCAATGCCTCTCCCAGAGTCCCAGTTAGCAGTGACCATAGCAGCCCTGGGACTCACAGTGGAACTGGCCTGAGCCCACACCCATGCTCATCCCTGACCCAATGTTTCCCTGGTAATTGATCAGAATGAAGAAACGCTGTCTCTCCTTGGATGTGCCATCACAACCAGCCCCAGGCAAAGCAGCATAAGGTCTCTGGACCCCTTGGGCCTGGTCTGGGTGGTGCAGGAAAGGATTTCTGCAAGCCTGAGTGACCTCATGGATCCCAAGGGACACGAGAGGCCCAAGGGAGAGGAACTTGGGGGGACCTTCCCCCCTGAGGTTCTCTAAGCCTGAGCTCTTCTCTAAGAGACCTTAAGCACTTGGACAGGGCATGGCATCCTCTTGGCCCCTAATAAGTATTTGGTGTTAGCGTGAGATACATCAAGACCAGCTCGCGCACCAAGCAGAGGTCTGCACACCCCAGATCCCGACACTGAGCCAGGTCTTCTCTTTACCCCAACCACCAGGGGAGCTTCAGGCAGAGCAAGAAGTGTCTAAACACGAAGGCTACCCAGGGAGGTAGTTAAGAGCTCAGGCCCCAAATCAGGCAAACCAAGGTTCCTATCTCAGCTCTGTCACTTTAAATTAGTTGGGTGGCTCTAGGCAAATTAATCTCTGTGAGCTCAGTTTCTTATTTAAAAATGGGGATAATGTTGGTACCCACTTCCCAGGGCTGCTCTGAAGATGACAAGAGACAATGCTGTAAGGACTCAGCCCGGTGTGTGTTTGGAGCAAGTGCGAGGAGGTGACATCTGTTGCTATGGTCTGCACCAGGGTGGGTGGCTAAGCATGCTTTTGGAGCCCTCTGCTTGGGTTCAATCCCAGTTCTCCTCCTAGCTAGCAAATTGCTTACCCTCTCTGTGCCTCAGTTTCCTGGGGTGGAAAATGAGGTTGATTGTGAAGAATAAATGAGGTAAAGTTCTTTACCTTTACACAGGTAAAGATAGCTTAGAATACAGGTAGCTTAGAACACAGGTAAAAGAGCTTAGAATAACATCTGGCACAAAGTAAGCACTCGATAAAAGTAAGTTAGTATTATTCTTAATTATTAACATTACTAGCATCCTTCTTCCTTTCTTCTGATAACAGGGTCCATTGCTCCCTCTCCAGCCAAATGAGTGGGCATAGGACTCAAGGCAGGTTCGTGAGAGTATCTCTCCCCCGTGGCCATATTCACTGGTACAAAGCGTGTGCATGTGCTCCGAGCTAGGCCAAGTTCCAATCTTAAAAACCTGGGGAAGACCTGGTCCTCCTGGGTCGGCTGGAGAGCTGTGTGGGGTCAGCCGGGAGCTGCCTGCAGCCATGGACCCCTGAACGGGGGACTCGACTCTGGGGATGCTGGAGGTCACCTGTTCTCTTCCTGGGGCTGGATTCTTCAGCACCTGTGTTGAGTCTTTGAGCCTCCCCTGGAAATTTCCAATGCATTCCATTTTCGCTCAAGCTCATTCAAATTTGGTTCCTGTCCCTTGAAACCAAAAGAGCCCCAACTAACAACAGTGCTAAGCAAATGGCTGCTTTATCATCACCAAATCACACTCAGAAAGAAAAGCCAGCTGCACGCCCTCGGTGAGCCCAGGGCAGGCAGGGAGAAGCGAGGTGTCACCGCAAACTGAAGCGAGGGGAGGCCGCTGCAAGCCCCTGGCACGACGCCCCTGCTGGGAGAGGGAGATCCTGAGACCAAAACAGAGAGCGGTCCAGGCTGCAGTCGCCAGCGAGAGGCCAGCCTAACGCCCAGCCCCTCGCCAATGCATTAAGAAAGGGGAAGAGGAGAAAGAAGGAAGCTGGAGCTGATTGTCATTGACTTCTAAGTGATGCTGGAAAAAACCCAGATAGCTATTTAAAACAACTCTTGTTAAAAGAGGAAGTAAGGGAGAAAAGGGGGAGGGAGGAAGAGGAAGGAGAAATCGCCTTATTTGAGCACTTACTTGGGTCATGCACTGTGGGCCACACTCTTCCATCTGTGTGATCTTATCTAACCTCCAGCACAGCCCTGGGAGCTGGATGATCATCCAACCCATTTTCCAGGTGAAGAAACTGAGGCTCACAGAGGGATCAACAACTAATTCACTGAGGTTGTACCACTCTTGCCTCATGCCTATAATGCCTGACGTGCCGCCTCCCCGGGACACTCTGATTCCTGAGCCTGGGGTCTCCCCCTCATGCAGGCCACATCTGCTGCCACTCACACCTCTGCTCAGACCTGCTGGAGGTGATGGAGTGTCCTGCGGCTCCCTCATCCAGAACCGCTCAGACACAGGGGCAGCATCTTGATACCCCAAGCACATCCTCGGGCAAGTTTCCTTCTCTGGAACTTAGGTTTTTTGTTTTTTGTTTTTTTAAATCTCGAAGAGCTCCGGGGTGATTTTAATGAGATGGCATGTATCAGCGGGTTTTAACCAGGATGCACCTGTCTCAATCCCATGGGGAGTTGTTTGGGTTTTTGGTTGTTTTGTTTTGTTTTTGTCTCAGTCACCTGTCCCAAGAGACTGTGACTTCACAGATACAACTACAGTGCCTGACACGTGGCACTGTGCTAAACAACATTATCTTTGCTTTGTCACTTTTCTCACTTTTCTCACTACCTTCTGGGCCAGCACCCAAAGATGATCTATTCCCATACCCCCACCTCTTCTAATAGCACCCCTTTAATTCCCTCCAGGACAAGAAGCTCCACCTGCACATGCGTTTTTTAAAGGGTTTTAGAGAAAGAAAAAAAATCCCTGGCCTGGTGGGAAAAACTAAGCCCCCAAACGTGCTGGCCCCCCACCTCTTGTGCAGCACGCGCCACGGGCGGACACGATGAGCACACTCGGCCGCCTTCTCCGCAGGCCACGGGGAGCCCAACGCCAGG